TCCACATCATTGCATTCAGTTTTTATTCACAATTTGTTTAGTGTCCCAACTCTTTTGGAATCCGGTTTGTACAAACAAGTTATTTCCACATAAGTTAGTTTAATTTGAAATGCAACGTCGAGGCGAAATTAGAAACCCAGTTTGAAAAACCTGTGGAAGTTATGTAAAATGTAAACAGTGATTTTCAAATTTCAAAAACCTTTATTTTATTAACAATGGATTTTATTAAACACATGTTTCAACTTAGAAACTGTACTATTTTTGATAAAAAGTAAGAAAGATAGTTAGTTTTTTTTTAGATGGGGTGAACAAATGTAATAAGCTGTAAATGTAATAAGGAGCTGAAAGGGATTTAACACATGCTGTTATTTATCATTGAATATTACCTTTAGAGACCTTCTTTCTTAGAGCTGTACTAAATTACAGAACTCTTAACAGTTTTAAACCACTTTTAATTTTGTAGTTTTGATCCAAATTTTACTAATAAAAGCTTGACAGACATAAAATAGTATTATACACCAATTTAGTGATTGAAGAGCCACTAGCTGAAACCTTGTCATTCAGTTGATAATTAGCTGAGGAATGATGTTCAGGTTTGGTGTCGGTCTTTGCTGGATTAGTTTGATTCATTAAAATAAGTCTTTCAGATACTGGTCATCCGCTGTAGATAGTTTTTAGCACTGACTACATTCACGCCCCTCTTGTCCGGCTCTACAGTGCAGCTCTTCTTGTTGTTGATCGTTTTGATTTTGCAGTTTGGTCATTTATTATTTTAACCAGGGAGATCTCATTGAGGTCACAGATCTCTCTTTCTTGGTCTGGGTCTGAAGGCAGCCTAACTTGAATGTTTTTACACTTTGGAGGAAAATCCACGCAGGCACGAGGAGAACATGTACACTCCACACAGAAAGACGCCAGGTCCAAACCAGGGCTTGGACCTTGGATCTTCTTGCCATCTACATTTAAAGAGAGAAAAACGTCAATTATTCTGAGAATAACAATCCCTAAAAGTTAAAAAGATGAATAAAAGATGAATGAAGAATTGTTATATAACCAACCCTTCTTTCTTCTTCTTCTTCTTTCGGCTTTTCCCTCTTCAGGGGTTGCCACAGCGAGTCATCCTCCTCCACCTCACTCTGTCCTCTGTATCCTCTGTCCTCACTCCAACTACCTTCATGTACTCTCTAACTACATCCATATATCTCCTCTTTGGCCTTCCTCTTTTGTCTTTTTCCTGGCAGCTGAATTTCTAACATCCTTCTACCAATATACCCACTGTCCCTCCTCTTGACATGTCCAAACCATCTCGGTCTGGCCTCCCTAACTTTATCTCCCAGTTGTTTAACTTGTTCTGTACCTCTGATTATCTCATTCCTAATCTTATCCAGCCTTGTCACTCCTAAGGAAAACCTTAGCATCTTCATTTCTGCCACTTCCAGTTTTTTCTCCTGTCTTTTTGTCAATGCCACTGTCTCCAGACCATACAACATAGCTGGTCTCACCACTGTCTTGTAAACTTTTCCTTTTGACATTTGCTGACACCCTTTTGTCAAAAATCACTCCTGAAACTTTCCTCCATCCACTCCATCCTGCCTGGACTCTCTTTTTCACTTCTTCACCACATTTCCTATTTCCCTGGACAGTGGACCCCAAGTACTTGAAGTCCTGCACCTTTGTGACCTCTGCTCCTTGTAGCCTCACTGTTCCACCAGCTTCCCTCTCATTTACACACATGTACTCTGTCTTACTACGGCTGACTTTCATTCCTCTTCTTTCAAGTGCATACCTCCACGTCTCCAAGTTCTCTTCTACCTGTTCCCTGTTCTCACCACAGATCACAATGTCATCTGCAAACATCATCGTCCATGGGGATTCTTGCCTGACCTCATCTGTTAGTCGGTCCATCACCAGAGCAAACAAGAAGGGGCTCAGAGCCGATCCTTGATGCAATCCCACCTCCACCTTGAAGCTATCTGTCACTCCTACAGCCCATCTCACCACTGTCCTGCTGTCCTTATACATGTCCTGTACCAGTCTAACATACTTTTCTGCCACTCCAGATTTCCTCATTCAATACCACACCTCCTCCCTCGGCAGTCTGTCATATGCTTTTTCTAAATCCACAAAGACACAATGGAGTTCTTTCTGACCCTCTCTGTACTTCTCCATCAGCATTCTCAAAGCAAAGATGGCATCTGTGGTGCTCTTTCTTGGCATGAAACGATACTGCTGCTCACCACTCGTCTAAGTCTTGCTTCCACAACTCTCTCCCAGATCTTCATCGTGTGGCTCAACAACTTAATTCCCCTGTAGTTGTTACAACTCTGTACATCACCCTTGTTCTTAAAAATGGGCACCAGCACACTTCTTCTCCATTCCTGAGGCATTTTCTCACCCTCAAATATGCCATTGAATATTTGAGTCAAAAACCTCACTGCCACCTCTCCAAGACATTTCCAAACCTCCACTGGTATGTCCTCAGGTCCTACTGCCTTCCCCTTCTTCATTCTTTTCAGAGCTGTCCAGACTTCACCCTCACTAATCTTTCCCACTTCCTGGTCCACAGTTTCTATGACCTCTACTCTTCTTTCTCTTTCATTCTCTTCATTCAATAGCTCCTCAAAGTACTCCTTCCATCTTCCCGTCACACTCTCCTCACTTGTTAGAAAATTACCATTCCTATCTTTAATAAGCCTAACCTGCTGCACATCCTTTCCAGCCTGATCCCTCTGTCTTGCCAATCGGTACAAGTCCTTCTCGCCCTCTTTAGTGTCCAGTCTCCCATACAACTCATCATACGCCCTCTGCTTTGTAACCAACCCCATGTTTGAAATAAATAAATTCCAAACACATTTGAGTTTAATCTCTTGTCTAAAGGAAGAATTTCAATTCAAATTCAATTCAAAAATACTTTATTAATCCCAGAGGGAAATTAAATGACATAATTTTCAGACTCTACCAAAACAGTGTTAATGATTTCCTAAACCAGGGGTGCCCAATACGTTGATTGCAAAGGTGTAGATCACATGGCATTAAGAAAATAGACGTCAGCCTGTCATCCATCCTCACTATGAAATTTGTCACTTGACTGACATACAGGGCAGCCTGGGCCTCGTTTACACGACGTGAAATGTTTGGCCGTTCATTTTCACTACAACAGCTCCCGTTCTCTCTGAAACTGAATGTTTGAGTCCTGGTCAGAGTGAAGATTTTTTGGGGAACCCCCCACGAAGGTGTGAAATGCTCTGCAAGTGTGAAGCAGCACATGCACACTACAGGTGGCTGCAGTCTAAAGTTTTTCTGCACCAACAACAGTTTTAATAAATGCCATAGAGCAGAGTGTTTTTGTGCTACTCGCCTTTTTTCAGCATGTAGGAGCAAAACTAATAAAATCCAGGGTCCAGAGAGATGTTATTGCATTCACCAGTTTGGACGCAACTGTGATCATGCTGACGCTGCAAGCTCAATGAATTCAGCTGAGCCTGGCATCAGGGTTGCCAGATAAATTCAAAATTACTTATTTACACCCTCCTTTTCTGTGCAAATGTTGAACCAACACAACGCGCACCTCATCTTAGAATATCTTTACTCTGCACAAATAACACTTTAGGTCAAAATACTATCATTTTAAAGTGACAGTACTATAGTTCATAATTTCTTATCTGGCAACCCGACTGACATGAAAACTACTGCACAGTTTTTTCATGTAAACCCGCTCATTTTTTGTTTATTGCCCCCAATAAACATTGAAAAAGCACTAACTTTTCCAGAGTTTGTTCTCGTGGAAATGGGGCCTTTGGACTAGGTCATTTTAAAAGTAGCTCACATGCCAAAAAAGTGTGGACACCCCTGTCCTAAACCATCGATTCTCCTCAACAAACTCAGGCACGCAGAGCCTTTCTAGTTTGGATCTGACTGCAGGTAAAGACTTTGATCATTAATATTCAGTCATTGGTAATGTATTAATCTGATTCAAACACTTAGTTACTCTTTTGTTGGGTGTTGTTTCTGTCGTCCAGGAAGAGGAAGCAAAATCATTTTTCTGGGTTTCTCCCCTTTTTGCACCAGTGAAGTCGAAATCAATAAACATTAGTATATATGTGAGATAATCAACACAACTTTTGTGGTGATGCGTTCTAGCTGTATATTTGTGGAATAGCAATACCTGAATGTTTATCTGCAGTTTAAATACATTTCTACATTGGGCTTAACAGAGAGCATTAGACCGGACTTGATTTCCATTGCAACATTTCCTTTGCACCAAAAGTATCTTTTGTAAAAAGGCTTTATTTTGCAGGGACCAACAAATATTTATAAATTCAAGGACACCAAAGCGGTGAAAGTTGTCTGAGGTGTCTCTTGGCGTGCAGCGTTCAGCCTGCAGAGTCAGTCTGTGGTTGAAAGTTTAATGAAGAAGTTAATATTTGATCGTAGGAAGCTGAAAGGCTACAGTGTGTGCAAACTGGATAGGAGACGTGGTGACACAGTTCCACTTCTCTGAAATTCACTGAAAACGTCTTTATTCTTATCGTCTTGTTTACTCAAGTACAAACGTCTTAATAATTTAGAAAGGCCCTCTGTATTTACAAGGGCAAAACTACTATGTGACGTCTTGAAATTCCCCCAGTAAAGCACTAATCTAGATTAATTATTGAATGAAATCCTGGCTTGAGCCTCAGATGCTGCCTCCATCACAACCTTGTGGGTGTGGCTCTGTCTGCATCAGTGTTACGCAGAGCCTCTTCTCTGCCTGGTGTGGGTGGGACGTACCATCTTCACTTAACGGGTGAGTGGATTTATGTAGCATCCTTTTCAGCTCCTCTATGAGTTGTTTCTAGATTTAAATGTTCATCTTACTCTTCTTTCCATGAATGGATAAAGACTGAAAAAACAGCATCCTCTTTTCTAGTGTGGGGTTTAGACTTTGCATCCTCCTCCTGCCCCCCTCCCCCCCTCCTCCTCCTCTTCATCTCTTCCACCCGGTAGTCCAACGTGGCCAGGTGAACGGAGGCAGGGATGACGACAGATGGCTCGTACAGCCCAAGGGATTATATATTAACACTGAGCAGCTCGGGATCTGCCGCACTCCCTCACAGAGACGAGCCGGCTCCGTCATCCAGCAGCGTGATGCGAGAAACAGGAGCGCTGCATCACAGCTCAGCCAACATTTAATAAAAGAAAAGGGTTTAACTCATGAACGGAGGGATTGAGAACAGTTTTCCTCCAGTGACCATGGAGGTGTGGAGCTGCTCAGCGTCTGAGGAGGAGGATGAGAAGAGCACGTCGAGTCTTGGGGACGAAATAGTAGAGAAGGATCTAAAATGCCACAACAGGAATAACAATAACAACAACAATGAAAGCCTTTGCAAGGAGGTGACACAAGGTGAGACGGAGCAGTGCACATTGTGATGAGAAGGAGAGCATGCAGAGGATGTGCAGCGCAGAGAAGCCAAGAAAATGTTAAATTACTGCAATTAATTAAAATGTTTTGTAATATATTTAATCAGTCAGACTTGGGAGTTCATCTTTGCTAATTGCATTTTAATCATGACTGCAGTTCAGAGTGCAGTGATGTCACTGCATCATTTATGTTTCCATCATGGTCTTCAATTTGCTGAACATGTAAGATTTTGTTGTTGCTCCAAGAGACATTTCAAACTTTAAAAATAAACCCAGCTTGAATATTTCCTCGCGGTTTGCTGAAGGTCACTGTGGCCGTTGGTCCTCGTGTGTATTTGCGCGTCCACACACTCTGCGGCTGCAGGATCAAGATATTTAATCATCATTTGGCTTTTTGCTGCCTCTGCTGTAAAGCTGGTTGTAAAAGCTATTTGCTATTATTTAACTTTGATTATAGTTAGCCAAATGCATTTTTTTATTTTTTTTTTAAACGACCAAATCAGCCTGAAGGACTTGCTCACAAACTCAGTTTAGTGACCTTGATTGTGAAGAACAAAAAGCAGCGGATACATGATGTTTAATTTTTATATTTAATTCAATTTGCTAAAAGGTGATTACAAAATGACTAAAGTTCCCGTCTTATTTTCTGATTTAATTTGTACAGGCTTTATGTAATTTAAGTAATTTTTAAATTAATACATGCGTGTTTAAAGGTTCTCTTGCTAATTTTGTGATTCAGCGCTGTTAATTTCAAAAGATTGTTTTCTCTATTCCTGCTTTTTGTGGTGGTCTTTGAACGCCCCACGTCCAAATGAACTGAAACCCTGCAGAAAGCAGGCTTTCGTGTAAATCTAAGGATGGAACTCGCCCTCCTCGGTCCGATTCCCACAATAAAGCAGACGTCAAACATCTAATTCAACCAGGTTGATCTGCAGGAGCAGTATTAGGTTAACGGTTCTCAGTAGCTGCCTGGATTTAGCTTTAACCTCAACCTCACTGGTAAAGTCGCAGCTCGGGCTGCAGAAACCGTTCTGCTCTCTTGCAGTGTGATCGGGAGGGAACACGTCAGGATTTTCACCCCATGTGACTGTTCATGCTGTCTATAAGGATGCACTTATTCACAAACAAAGCCGAGTATAGAAGAAATTTTAAAGTTCCTAAATAGCCAAACAAGTGTAGTAATGGAGATGTGAAAAGTTAGATGTTTTTTCACTTACTGAAGCCAAATGTTATAACTCATTTTACCATGTGTGTGTGTTAAAGAGTTGTTTTGTCTGGATCAGAGTGCTGCAAGAGGCTGCAGCAGTCGTCTGACCTTGCCTTTGTCTGATAACATATTTATAAAAAGGCGCTCTTTTAGGCTCTCTGTGAGCAGACTTGGGACGGAGCGTCATGTAACATTTCGATGCTTGTATTTCAACACTGCTCCATCTTGCAAGATTAAAACTTGGGATTAAGAAAATATCTACCTCTCCTGTGTAGCACATTTATTTAAAGAGCTATTACAAGGATAATAAATTATCCTAACATATAATTTGTCAAACGAAAGGCCTGCAGGCCAAATCTGGCCCTTGTTAACATTTTATTTGGCTCTCCAAGGTGATACTTTAAAGGGAAAATGTTTTTAATCTCCTCATTTTGCTTAAATAAATGAATAACTACTTCATTTATGGCAACTGGTTAACTATGAGTCTTTTTCTAAGAAAAGAGGTTTATTTTTCAGTCATCTTTTATTCTCACATGGAAAGAGCAACAGATAAATGGTAAATGGACTGTACTTCTATAGCACATTTCTATCTTATCAAGGCACTCAAAGCTCTTTACAATACAATCTGTGCCCTCATTTACCTATTCATACAGCACTCTACTAGATCTATCAGTGCTTTATCACATTCATACACTGATGGGACACACATCAGAGGCAATGAGGGGTTCAGTGTCTTGCCCAGGGACACTTCAGCATGTGACTGCTGGTGGAGTCGAACCCCCAACTCTTGCATTGGAGGACGACTGCTCTAACCACTCGGCTACAGCTGCCTCGATAGATGAGACCGATCGAACTCTTGTTGAGGAACCTGCAAGCAAGAAAAGATTTTGGTGCCTGACTTGAGTTAATGTATCGACTGAAATAGACCCGTGACTTGCACCATGATTTTATTTTGGCCTCCTTTTATAACTGAGTTTAACGTTTAGCTCATCAGTTTCATCTCCTGGAACCAACAGACATAAAATAATAAAATGTAAAACATGCAAAATAAGAATTATTGTTCTTGATTTATCCAGTGCTGCATTCTGAACACTTGGCTTACTTTTCTGTGAAGCAGATCTTATTTTGGATGTGTGGCTGTTCATTTGTGTACCTGCAGAGTCCAAAAGGATTTGGAAAACAATGATCTAATTACAGTTTGTTAGTTTTTAGAACGAGTTGTGATGCTTGGAGTTTAGAGCTCAGGAAGGCTTCTGATCCAAGTTTAGGATGGAGCTTGTTAATTAGATCATTTTCATTCTGCCCGATTGTTTCATGAGAAAATGGTGTTTTAAAATAAATTAAGGTTATTTTTACTTCTTTGTCTAGTTCTTTACATATATTTAAATCAGATGAGTTTTGAAGAACAGTCGTTCCTCGCTACTTCACGGTTCGTTTTTCACAGACTCGCTCTATCGTGGTTTTTCAAAGTAAGATTGGACATGACACACAATTGGCTAATTGATGGATGAGCCACACGATTGGTATGGAATTTTTATTTAAAATAATTACATTATTTAGCACCTGCTGCACCTGTGTGCAACCCACAGCTACAGGAGGAGCTTCCGTCAGATCTCCGCTCTGCAGCAGAGAAGTGGGCGTGGCCGAGAGCACTGGCAGAAAGCAGAGAGCAGCCGAGGCAGAGAGCAGAGATCATGACATTCTGTGCTCCTGTAGAGCGTTTAGAGTTTAGAAACATCATTTAGAATATTGCAAGAGTGAGAAGGGTTTAAAACGCCTTTATTTATATATATATATATATATATATATATATATATATATATATATATATACACACACACTAAAATAAACTACTACTTGTACTACTATTCCTAGTTCGCAGTTTTTCCACTTATCGCGGGGCTTCAGGGTACGAATCCCCAGTGATAAACGAGGGACTACTGTACTTGCTCATTTATTTTTTCAATCGTGTGGATGGTGTCTGGCCTTCAGAGGACATACTTGGCAAACGATGCCAGCTTCATTCATCTTTTAGGGATTTTTATTTTCTCTACTGCAGCATCCTTGAGAAGAAGAAGGTTTCTTGCTTGCAGACCTGTTAAATCGTCGTCGATGGTGGAAAATAATTGTTCAAACTGCAGAAATTCTCATTATCACCGAACAGACTTTTGTAAAAACTGATCTGAACCACGTGTAGCATCACAGTTTGCTCCCTTCCAGATAAAATGAGGTACTAACGTCTATTTTTTCAAAGTTAAATACTTGATGATCTTTTTTTTAATCCTTGTTGTTGTTTTGTATTTACAATATAAAGATTGAAACACAATCTGCAAGTGACGCCAACCCTCCTCGTCCTTCCATAGACTTGACTGACAGTTTATCCGAGGCAGAGTAGAACCTGATGCAAGCCAACACGCCGCTGAGTTTTCAGGTCAAATCAAAGCTCATTTAAATTATTTTACTGTAAAGAGATTCTCTTCGTCTTCGGGCTTGAACTGAGGTAGGATTAGAGGGACGCCTGTTGGTCTCTGTGTCCCTGTGATGGACTGGAGACATGTCCAGGGTGTCCCCCGTCTTCTCCTTTCTGTGTCTTGGGGAGCTGACGTCTATCTCCAGCAGTCACTGAGAGGCGAGGGACACCTTGGACAGTTCACAAGTCCACCACAGGAACACAGAGACAAACATTAATTCATATTAAAAATTAAAGAAATAAAACTATAAGAGAATAGAAGGATCTTATTTCAGCTTTTCATTTTTCATTTGGGTGTTTTTCTGTTAGGATTTTTATCTAACAGAGAAATAACAAATCTGACTGTCACGGAGGAACATTTTTTACGTTAAGTTTGCATTTCTGCAGAGTAGTTCGTCTTAATTGAATGTTTTTAGATAAAATGAAAATTTTTTTTGTTAAAATTAATTTTACGAACTATTCTGTAAAAATGAAAATGCACGCATTGTAAATGCTAACATTTACTAGATGGCTTAATTAATTTAGTTTGACTACTTTAAATTAGGTTAAATTAATTTAATTTAAACATTTTATTTAATTTTAAAATATGCAATAATGAGCTATATTTTTTACTTTTGATACTAAAACTTTAAAGAAACAAAAATGTACAAATAAGGAAACTAAAATCAACTGTGGTTTTTATTTGTATTGATAATGGATTTTTAAGTTTACAGGAAACTTATTTGCCCAGTTTTTAGAGTCAAATAATTGAGACGGTTTTCCTAAAAAAACATTAATCGTGTTGATTGAGGCCAGAACTGCTACTATGAACAGATTTATATGCTTACAAATATTTTCTATTCTATTTTTTGAATATCTCACATTGTTCAAAAATCACATTTTAACTAAAAACTTACTATTTGTGAAAAATAATTTCCAAACAATATCAGAGATATTCATCTTTCCTTAGAAGAGGGAAAAGTAAATAAATTCAGTTTATTTTTGGTGAGAAAATTGAATAAAATTTATAGAAAAAAGTTCTGACAAATTGTTGCTCCATTTGGAACTTCTATAAAACACATTTCTTGTCCTAAAAATGCACAGAACAAATATTTTTTTTAACAAATACGTTTTAAAAAGCAGAAACTAATAAAAAAAGCCATGCTTCGCTGTAAACTGGTATCTGCAGTGATGATAAATCCCTTTTAAAGACACTAATTAATCCTTTCTTCCTGTTCAGCTCTAACGGCTTTAAGGTAGAAATAAACAATCCATTGTTCAGGATGTAAGTTCAGCTCAGCAGACGGTTACAGTTTCCTCTCTGTGCTTTATCCGTCCTGCGGATGTGAACCTCCTGCGTCGAGCTATAAGTGTCCAGGAGAACTAAGTCTTCATTAGCATCTTATTTGGGCTAAAGGGGATCAAGCTAAGAGGATTCTGGTGACCACATGGAGATGTTGTTGTCTGCAGCTACTAAAACCTCTGAGGGAGGAGGCTTCTTTATTTATGAATCTCTTTTTCCTCTTTGCTTTTAAAATGAGATGCAACCAAAAAACAGAAACTTAAAAGTTGATATAAACGGAGGAATGATTGAGCAGATGAGTTTGTTGTGCAGTAATTTTAGCTTTCAGAGTAGCTCTTTTGCGAGAAAAAGATTAGAGGAATAAAAAAGTTTAAACTGTTTTTTTTTTTTTTATTAACAGCAAAGGTTGTTGCAGAAATAATTACATCATGAAATAAATAATTTAATGGTGTATTTAATAATTTTATTGTTTTAATGATTTAATGATACATTTCATTATGTATTTATTTATTTATTTATTTATTTCATTCTGCCTCCATTCATTAAATCCTTCTCTCCCTCCTCCCTCAGTGCTGTGCTCAGACAGAGTGGGCCAGGTCACCAAGACGTATCATGACATCAAGGCGGTCACCCACCTGCTGGAGGAGGTACGACGATAGACACACAGCAGATGAACGGGATTAAAGGAGATTAAACCTGTGCCTCCCTGACCCTCACTGGTTGTCGTCATTTTCACAACGTGGCCAGAAAGGAGCAGATCAAATGTTGAGATTCTCTGATTCTGCAACTAATAAATGTGTGATCCGATTTTCTAGAAAGAGCGGGATCTGGAGCTGGCAGCTCGAATCGGCCAGTCGCTCCTGAAGCAAAACCAAGAACTAACGGCTCGAAATGAAACGCTGGACGAGCAGCTTGAAATCACAAAGGAGGAGGTAAAAACGCTCGTTGTGAATCTTGGTGTAGGACAGAAACTCATGGTTTGCGTACTCCAAGTTGAACGTGTTTTAAAATTATTTTCCAGATCGCTCAACTTCGACACGAGCTCTCGATGCGAGACGACCTCCTTCAGTTCTACGCGAGCGCCGAGGAGATCGAAAACGCTCAGGCGCATTCCTCGTGAGTAAAAACACAAATAATGTGAAATACAAACAGAATTTAAGATTTACTCTAAACAGAGGATTGGTTTGAGATTTGTTCAACATAGATGTTTTCAAAAAGGATTGGTTTAAAGAGATAGTCTGGTCATTTATGAAGATGTTCTGTCAGTTATACAAAATTGTGTTCAATTTTTGCATGGTGCACTGTACAATTTGGAATGTCAATAAATTTATATTATTATTATTATTTATTATTATAAAGCTCAGAGTGTACAGGAACAGACAAAAGTCTTCATCCTGGCTAGGCTAGCAGCTAGCTAACCCCTTTCAGAACACTAAAAACACATTTTTAAACAAAACAAAACCCTGTGGGTTTGGCTCAAATATAACAAAGTGCTATAAAAGTGACCATCCTATCATTCAGTTGGAATAATTATAATATTGAACTTTTGGGTAACGACACACCACTATCAGACATTTGTCAAATTTACTGCAGTTTAAAAAAAACAAAAACAAACTATGAGACCACACAAAAACAACTTCTGTATTTACCAGAAGTGGAGTTTTTCATGATTAGACAGTTTTTGTCAAAGGACTCGCATCTAAAGGGTCATGTATGGAAACAAATACAACAAACAGAAGGGTCTGAGTTTAAATGTGTTTAATTGTGACTGTATCGCAGTAAAGCGTTTACTTTTCAATAAGCCAAAGATGCTCTTTTTTTTAATTATAAAACGCTTGTGTGTTTTTTGTGCAGCATTAAAAGGAATGAATCCACCAGTTCTCTCAGCAACTTTGTCCATTACGACTTCCTGCAGCAGAAACTGAAGAGTTTAGAGGAGGAGAACCGCAAACTCAGATTAGAGGTCTGCATAAATAAAACTCATTGTTTATGAAATGTGTTTTTGTTCCTTAAAGTACATTTTGGGTGGTCGGCTGTACGATGCAAGCACTTGACATTGATATTTTCTCTGCAGGCCAATGAGCTCTCAACAGAGACGACCAACTATGAAGAGCAGGAGCAGGAGCTGATGATGGTGTGTGTGGAGGAGCTCTGTAAGTGCAGCGGCTCTGTTTCTGGGAGCGCAAGTTGTGTAAGTCGCAGTCGAATTGACCTCATTTGTGTTTTTTAGCGTCTGCAAACAAGCAGGTGGTGGACCTGTCTGAGGAGTTGGCTCGAAAAGTAGAGGACACTCTGCGACAGCAGGAGGAGATCAGCTCCCTGCTCGCTCAGATCGTTGACCTGCAGGCTCGCTGCAAAGGGGTGAGAGAGGCAAAAGCACAAACACACTACACTTTGGCAAAAAAAGTGGCTTTAAATTAAAATCTTAAATAAAAACAAACTGTATAAGCCTCCTACTTTTTTATCTAAATTATCAAGCATCGATGTTTGTCTTCTGTTGTGGAATAATTGATTTATTAAAACAAGAAATCTTAAAACTGTTTACAGCTTGCCGTTGAGAACGAGGAGCTGAACCAACACCTGAGTGGCTCCAGAGAAAACGAGACAAAACTGAAATCAGAGGTGAGCGACTTCAGCCACATATTAAAGTTGAAATAAAATGCTTACAAATTCACAATTTGCTCGTTGTCCCCCGTCGCTGAACAAAAATGGGGAGTTGGAAATACCCTCCATCTGTCCGCGAACGTCATGAGCATGATAACTTGAAAAATAAAGGAGGCATTAACTTCCATTATAGTGTGTGGCTACTTCTGGAAAAACTGGGTTGCCATGTCAAAATCCAAGATGGCCGCTGCCATAAAGCTATGTAAACGTGAGCTGGATAGCTTTAAAACCAAGGAACGGGTCAACAATTTTTTTTGGTTAATTGCTGCATCTTCATATCATCATCATCATCATAAGATGTTCCTTTCAAAAATAAAGTTGCCAAATCAAAATCCAAGCTGGCCACCACCATATATAATATACATAAATATATGGATGTAAACCGGTCACCCCATCATTTAAGGACACAATGCTTTCTAGATTTTATATTGCTTACAAGTTTAGTTTCCTCAAATAACTGAGGTGGCCAAATATTAATTCATGATGGCCAAAGCCACCATTTGCCACCCCCTGGCTCCACCTGAGCCTGGTGGTGGATCAAACTGCTTCCTCCACTCTCCAGGATTCATCACTCTGCACCTCCTCAAACAAGAAATCAAACCTACATCTGTTCTTCTCCACCGTATAACTCCTTCCCAATTGAACATCTTGCACCAAAAGATTAAGGTTTATTTGCGTTCCACATTTAATTCCAGTCCAGAAAAACACTCATCTCGTAAGTTACAAACATTTACTATACAAATCCTTCAGCGTTGGCTGACATCAGCATCTCTCATTCATATCTGTGGTTTCTTGAACTGCTGTGATTAGGAACTCATGTTCAAGTGATAATATTTTTATCTCTCTAGATAATTTCTGCTCTGGATGTGGACACATTCCTGTTTATACGCAAGAGTTTCTGAATGATTCATTTAATTTGTTTCTGCAGCTCCAGGACTTGCAGGACAAGTACTTTGAGTGCGAGGACATGCTCCACGAGGCACAAAAGGACATAAAAAATCTGCGAAACAAGAGTTTGCCCAACAGCACGGTGCAGAGGTACACTGCGCTGGCCTCTGTCCTCCCCATGGACTCCCTGGCAGCAGAGATCGAAGGAACCTTTCGCAAAGGTCTGGACTCCCCGACTCCCTCAGAGTACAAGTGAGTGTCAACGACAAACACTAAAAACTGCTGCTGTAGCTGTGAGGCGTTTCTTTAAAAGTTTTTATAATGTAATCAAGGCATTGGTGATTATGTTCCCATAACAACACACTTCCTGTAAACAGCGACAGAAACCGTTCTGGTCAATATTTTAAGTTCAGAACTAGGACATAAATGTTCTTTAGGAACTGAGCTGCATTGATGAAGCCTTTTTGCTATAATCGTTTGAACAAAAACATTCCTCTAGAGTTGCTCGCGTTCTATAAAAAATGAAATGCAGCTCATCTTTCAGTAAAGGCACAAACTCATTTCTGCAGAACTGAAGTAAAAGCTGTTACCTTGTTGTGGGAAACTGTAAAAGTGATGTCTCACTGAGCCACAACTGTTCAAGACTCAAAACTGGACATTTCTTTAGTTGCAGTCTCAAACCTGTGTGGAAGTGTTTTGCACGCAGCTTTCATCTTTGTTTTCTTGGCTGTTCCTTGTCGTGTCCGCTTTGGAATCTGCCACTGTTTGATTTATGTTGGCGTACACTTTAAAATGAAAATTAACAGAGTTTCAATATTAATTATTATATTTAGCTGTTTTACTCCAGATCGGGGGGAGTTTTTGTCTTAGGTGGATGAGTTTATCTGTATCTTGTTCATGATTGATGGTAGGATGGAGTGAGAGATGGATCCTCATCCTCAGCAATGAGGACGTTGCTTCGGTCAATTGTGGTGAAAAATAGAGTTGAGTAAGACAAAGCTCTCAATTTACTGGGCTGTACGTTCCAACCCTCACCTGTGGTCATAAGGTTTGGAGCATGACTGAAAGAAGATCCTGGATACAAGCAGCCGAAGTGAGGCTGGCCGTGCTCAGTCTTTGAGAGAGGGTGAGGAGCTCCTTCATCCCAGAGGAGCTCTGACTAGAGCTGCTGCTCCTCTTCATCAAAAGGAGTCAGTTCAGTGGTTCGGGCATCTGATTAGGATGCCTCCAAGACACCTCCCTTCGGAGGTTTTCCAGGCATGTCCTACTGGTAAGAGGATCCGGGGTAGACCCAAAACTTTCCAAATATATCTGGGCCTGGGAACACCTTAGGCTCCCCCCAGGAGGAGCTGGAGAGAGGGATGTCTGTGTTTCTCTCCTGGACCTGTTGCTTCCACAGCCCCACTACGGATAAACGGTAGAAGATTGAGATGGAAATAATTATTTATCTTTGGTGAATTGTTGGTTGGCTTTAGACACCAACATTTATCTCAGATGTTTGGAGACATGTTGGAGACTCCCCCACTAAAAGCCGACAGTCTCAGTCCACTGATATACTGGCTCATGTTACTATAGAGTGGAGTTATGAAGTTTCATTACGTTTAAACAGCTACAGCTGCTGTTCCTTTTGGTGTTTTCATCAGCGAGTCATTGAGTTTACTTGATCCAGAAGTTATCGTTCGAACAGTCAACCTGAGGGGAATACAGCAGACGGTCTTCTTGCATGAGACCAGTTAGCTTCAAACGGGCAAATGTCTTAACTCACTCTAAATGTCATATTCGTTTACTCTGTACTTTTACAGTTTCTTTACTTGAAGAGTGATGGCTGACCTTATGAACACATGAACAAGGTGTATGGAAATGAGCCCGAGTTGGCCAAAGAGCTATTTTTGCCTGACGTAATTATTGATCCAAAAATGCATGATGATGTTTTTCTAAAGCTTTGACTTTACTTTATTATTCTCAAAGGGAATTTTTTTGAGCAGTTGTACAAAAGTTAAATAAAAGAAGCTCATTCACAGATGTGTAATTGATGGTTTTCAGGTTTTACTGTGATCCAAAAACGTATTTTTTTTAAATTGTTGAAGTTAATTAAACACTGAACACACCAGTTTTAACGTTCTCAACTGGTTTTCCTTTTTATTCAATTAAAGTTCAATTCAAAGTTTATTTATATAGCACATTTAAAAACAACCACAGCTGACCAAAGTGCTTAACAAAAATTACATTGTAGATAAAAATATGATACAATGTAATAAAAGAAATAAAGTTGAGTTTAATAAAATAAAAGTATGATCAAATTTGCAGTAAAACAACAATAAAACAATAGTAGTAATAAAAACCAAGACAACTATTGCATATTTGCTGCAATTTTCCCAAAACTCGAGTCAGTCAGGTACTAATTTGAGTGAAGTCCAGGGAGAAGATGTGTTTTCAGTCTGGACTTTGATCTACTGACCGAGAGAGCTTCACAGACAGAGGGAGGCTGTTCCACAGACTGGGTGCTGCCACAGAGAAGGCTCTGTCACCTCTAGTCTTCAACCTCGCTTTAGGGACAGCCAACAAGAGCTGGCCGGCTGACCTCAGGGCTCTGGATGGAGTGTAGGGCTGCAACAGCTCGCTTAGGTAAGATGGGCCCATGGAGTTTAAACACTTTAAAACAATCAATAAAACTTTAAATTTCACTCGAAAAGCAACAGTGAAAGGAGTGTAAAACGGGGGTGATAGATTTGCGCCTCCTTGTGTTCGTCATCAGACAGACTGCAGCGTTTTGGATGCTCTGCAATCACTGCAGGGAGCTCTGGTCCAACCCTAAATACAAATAATTACAATAATCCAAACGCGATGTAATAAGTGCATGGATAGCCCTCTTCAGATCAGGCCGAGGAAGGTAAGGTTTTATCTTTGCAAGTGTCCTCAGCTGGAAGAAACTGCCTTTGATAACAGCACTAATATGCTTATCAAATTTAAACAGAGGACCAACCACACTGTCATGCCCAAGCAGGGGGTTGCATTGACCGAACACCAGAATCTCTGGTTTTTCCTGTTTCAGGTTCAGAAAATTTGCTCTCAACCATGCCTGTACGTCCCTAAGACAATCCTGTAACATGTACAGCAGACTGGCTGTCATTTACTGGTAGATAGATTTGAATGTCATTTGTAAAGCAATGAAAAGAGACTGTGTTTTTTAAAGACGAAACCCAGAGGCAGCAAGTACAAGGCAAAAAGAACAGGTGCTAATATCGACCCCTGGGGCACCCCATATTGCAGAGTAGACACAGAGGAGGAATACTGACCTAGATTTACAGAAGAACTCCTATTTGAGAGATGAGATCGAAACCAGTTTAAAGCTGTACCATGAATCCCAACAAGTGACAGACGGGTCAAAAGGATGCTGTGATCCAGTGTCGAAGGCAGTGGACAAATCTAAAAGAAAGAGAACTGCTGATTTTCCTGCATCAACAGTTAATAGAAGGTCATTTAAAACTTTTAAAAGGGCAGTTTCAGTGCTGTGCCGTATTTTAAAACCAGACTGAAAATTTTCACCAATTTCGTTTAGGTCCAGGTAAAACTGCAGTTGGACATAAACAACTTTTTCTAAAACTTTAGACAAAAATGGCGATTTAGAACCAGGTCTGAAGTTAGACAGCACATTTGAATCAAGGTTGCTCTTTTTGACGAGCGGATGAACAACAGCATGTTTCAGATCGGTAGGAAAACATCCAGTCATCAGAGAAGCAGTTGTCATTTTGACCACACATGGACCAACACAGTCAAAGACGTCTATAAACAGACGACTAGGAACGGTGTCCAGAGGGCCCGAAGAAGCCTTTAACTTTTTAACAATCATTTCCAGTCACACTTTTTGATAACTTCATGTGTTTCTTCAGATCGTGTTTAAAAACAAAAAATTATAATGAATTAAGTTTCATAAGAAACAGTGAAGGATTATATGGTAATAACATTTTATTTATTTTAGGAATCTAATATTCTCTGTAAAATCAAGTTGCAGATCAAGAAGGTGGAGTTTGTAAAATAGTTTTTGTGCCGTCCTCGTGCGGTTTTCTTTGAAAATCGAACAGCTCTCTCTCTTTTTGGGCTTCCTCCTGAAAGAAAGACAACATAAATGTTAATGGAGCTGTGTAATCTGAAGAAATTATAAACAGTTGAACCTCAGTCGTCCTGAAAGCGGCACACCTTATCTCCTGCCTCCCTTTCCTTCTTCTCGTCTCTGAGTCTGACCTCCAGCTCCTCACATTTCGTCCTCCACCATCTCTCCTTCTCTTCGCGTTCGTCCTCCTTCTGTCTCATCACAGTCAGAGTTTGGAGATGCTCCTTTGTGGCGGCGATCAACTCCCTCCTGAAGCACTGGGTGCGTTTTTCCTTCTTTACGATCTCCGCTTCCTGCCTCACACATTTCTGCTGCAGTCGCTGAAGCTCACCAGTGAGTTGTTTCCTTCTGATCCTCCCTCTTTTTTCCTTGATCGTCACTTTATCCAGCTTCGCCTGCAGCCTTTCATTCTCCTTCTTTCTCAAAGCCTTGTCACTTTGAGACGACTGGAAATAACTGTCCACGTGTTTGAAAATATTTATGACGTCCACGTATTTCTTGTCCAACACCCTCATTGCATATCTGACTTTTTGCTCAAATTTAACCCTCGCCCAACTCAGAAACCAGCAGATGGAGACCAGGTCCTGCTGGTTTCTTCTTGCAGTCTCCAGAGCCCGTCGGAGCGCCGTCATTTCTGCATCGTCGAATGGATTTTGGACCGGATGCACGGGGGGCTCATCGACATTAATTTGCTGCTGTGTCTTAAAAAACAAAACAAAAAGAGCAAATCAAAAAATAATGCAACACATTCACAGAGAAATGCGTTTTTAGGTGAAAGTAAAATTAATTGTTCTACAAACTTTGTGCACATTTGTCACAATACTCAATTGTTAGTACACAGAATATCATCTTAAATGGCAAACTTAACCATTTGAGTGATCTAAACCAGAATAATCTGTAGGCTGTGGTAAGTTATTTTTCTTTTAAAAACAATTTAAAACCTTGTTTTCATTCAAAAAGTATTAGCTGCAGTGATAGATGCACATTTACTCTTCCTAATAAAGTGTTTGTTTTTAATTTATTTAACCTTTATTTAACCAAGAAGTCTGTTGAAGTTGCATCTTTTTCAAAAGAGACCTGGTCAAGATTACAAAGTGACATCATTACAAGCTAAATCACAATTAATATTAAATGAGACAAATAGACAGAAAATTACGACAAAGTCCGGCTTAAGAACAGGAGTTCTTAAAATGTGATGCCTAGAAAAATCAGACGCTGAGAGGTGAAGGTTTTTGTTTCTTTTGTCATAAAAATCAACACAAGTTTTGTAATAATGAAACTAGTTTTCGCTTACGGCAGTCCAGCAAATAAAACGTACACAGTCCATGTATTTATTCATGTTCTGGGGCCAAACTGAAGGTGATTTAAATGGTAATGGCTTTATCACTTAAAGTAAACACGAGTTTTATAAAAACAGGCTAGCTGAAATTTACACAGCACTTAGAGGTTAAAAACACAAATTAGACGTTGATGAATGAGCTCATTTTTCCCTAACGTTTGAATTTAAAGATCTCACCGTGTTTGTTGGTCTGTCGGCGTCTTCCATGACGATGACGGCACAAAAACGAAGCGAGGGAGCTGAAATGTCGGTGCAGATAAACCTGGAAGTCTAAATTCTTCACTGATGTCTGATTTTTAAATTAAAACTTGTTTCCTTGGAGAAAAACAACAAATTCCGGAACATCATTTAAGTGCAAACACCATGACAAGTTTATTCTCAGTAACTCTTTTCTACCAGCTCTCTCTGTGTGTTCGTCTGTCGCGTTAGCAAAATATCCAATAAACCAGTGGACAGACTTTAATTAAATGCTCTGAAAGTAATAATTGTAAATTCATCTACAGCTGATTAACTTTTTGAGTCAATCCATCAAAGATTACCGCTACAACTAAGTGACCTTAGCACACACAAATGGCTATGATTCGGCGGACTTTTCAGATGTGGAGCTAAAATTTGGTGTGGTAGTAGCCGAGAGTCATTCCTAAAACCTACAAGCTTCATTGTTGTTTTTCCCTCTACAGGAACCATCCGTGGCGTGTGTTCGAAACGGTGAAGGTGGTGAACAAAGCTGGCAGGATGCGCTCTCTGTGCCACTCACCGGGTCTGCCAGGCTCCAACCCTGTGTCGGCCCGTTCCAGCTGTGCCAGCACCCCCAGAACCAGCTACTACGGCTCTGACAACACCAGCATTAACCTGGAGGACAAGCCCAGCTCCACCCCTGCTCCGAAGGAGGACAACAGGTGAGGCTGGCGAGCGGCGTGAAGTTTTGTTTTTGGATCCTCTCCAACAGTTCATGCACATTTATGTGAATCTCAACGTCTTGACTTGAAGAAATGTTGCATTTCCCACCTGCAGTGTCAGCGGACCCAAACGCCTGGGCCAGCCAGGCACACCTGGTGGTCAGGACCTGGAGGCTGCTCTGCGCTGCCTCTCGGCCCGACAGCAGAACCACTCCTCGGACCGTCCGTTCTTTGACGTAGAGAGAGAACGTAAACTCAAAGCCTTGGTCGCAAACTGCAAAGAAGGAAACGGCTCCAGTGGCTTCCTGACGCCAAACGACAGCCTGGCCTCCAGCTCTGCTGCGTCCACAGGCACCAATTACTCCAACGGGAGCTCACGGCACTCCTGTGGTTCTTCCGGAGGATCCCGGTCCTACCTGCCCGACCGGCTGCAGATTGTTAAACCTCTAGAAGGTAAAACGGCTACAGAGGCAATGAAAGCTTAGAATATGCTGAGTGAAAAACATGAGTCAGCCATTTCTGCTACACCTGGGTTGTATCGTAACGTGCTCTGATGATCCCAGGCTCGGTGACGCTGCACCACTGGCAACAGCTGGCCAAACCAAACCTGGGAGGGATTCTCCACCCGCGTCCTGGAGTCCTGACTAAAGACTTTAAGGAGCTGGAGGTGGACGTACAGCACGTCTACAGCCTGAACGACCTGGAGGAGGACGAGCCTGACCTGTCTCAGTTCTCTGGAACTCGTGGATTCGGTAAGACACATGCAGATACACACAGTTCCTCCGTCTTTGTCGTTATGACTCACCTCGTCGGGTTCTCTCGCATTTTAATGTCTCGTCCTTCTCATGTTACTTTTGATGCAAAGTTCATCCTCAGCTGCTTAAAGGGCCCTGCATACTCCATCTGAAGCCGAACAGTCGACTTGCGGTCACGTGATCACGTTTGGCCACAAATCTATCATGAAGAGAGCGCCACACTTTTCATCAGACAGATGCATGATTAGGCCTGTCACGATAACAAATTTTGCTGGGCGATTAATTGTCTCAAATTATTGCGATGAACGATAATATTGTTTGAAATTTGACAATAATTAGTAATTATTGTCAAATTTAAGAAGAAATGTTTATTTGTTTTGTGAGTAGTACCTTTTTTGACCACCAGATGGCAGCATAAGACTGTTTGAACCGAAGGATGGATAGTGAGGGAGTGAGCAGTGTGTCTTTTTAAGAAAAATGGGAGGGAGGCCCCTTGACATGACATGGGCTGTCTCTCATTCCTGCTTTTCAGTTCTCAAAATGGCGTGTGTGGTTTGAGCTCGTTAGCATAGCATTTTTCACACAAAGCTTTTAATTTAAAAAAAAATCAGTAAACAAGTTCTCAGCTTCTTTTTGGAGAGAAAAACAACTTTTTACATGAAGGCACGGGTTTCAACTGTGAATTTTGGAGCTTTGACAAGACGGAGGTTTTTTTTCCCTAGGTCAGCCTATTAGCTTAGCTCGAAGCTTAGCTGCTTTTAACGATCCAAAAACGCGATTTTGGATCGTTAAAATTGATTTTGAAAAGAAAATAGAAAGGGAGGGGTCAGTGAAGAGCACCGGAGTTGAGCCTTTTGTCATCCAGTGTCTTCAGTAGAAAGAGAGAGACGCGAAGAAACAATAAAGCCAATAAATGAAAATGAGGTTGATAATTTTCATTTATCATGAGATTAATTGATTTATTGTTTATCGCGACAGGCCTAGTCACAATGTCTGCACAATCGCCATCGAGGAGTTTTTGGACATTTTACTAATTTAGTGTGTTTGAAAAGTCATGCAGCTGAATGTCCAAGTGCATTTCTGCTATGATGAACACGTCCACAAACTTCTGACCCATCACACAATCCTTGGTGCAGACGCCTGTGAGACAAAGTCCAGCCCTGGCCTTGTGTCGAAAAGGCAGTGGAGCTGCTCTAAGAACAAAATGTAGCTCAACTACGTCAACGAGAGCTGATTTCACCGCTTCAGATGGAGTGTGCAGCGCCCTTTAGTGCAGGGGCGTCAAACTCCCTTACAAAAGGGGCCAAAATGAAAACCATTTTCAAACAAAGGGCCTGTTTCAGAATTTACATTAACTCGAGTTAGATACCCAACATGTTTTCTTGGTCACAGGTTCCACAATAAGAGTTTGATTGGTCTCATTTAATGTTCTCTGTTGCACTTTTGACATCATAATCAAATATTACTGGAACAAAATTCAAGTGATAAAAGTATTTTACATTTAAAATAACATCTTGGGGGCCAGATAAGATGTCATTGAGGGCTGCATTTGGCCCCCTGGCCTTGAATTGACACACATTCTTTAATGTCTTATTAGACGTGAATATTCATCTGTTTTTTTTTTCCCTCCATGATCTGATAGTTTCTCCATCGGGCCCAAATCTCCTTCAGACCTCCCCCTCACACACCACCACCCCCAGCAAAGTCCTCCAACCCTCCCCTCTCATCCCCTCCTTCTCCAATAGGTAAGAGCTCCCACACTGCAAACTTTACTGCTTGTTGGTTTTCACAGCTCTGACAAAGTCTTGCATTGTTTAATGAAAACTTGATTTACTGCATTAAGGAAGCAGAAGAAGTTAAATACAATCAGTTTAAATACTTTAGATTTCCTGCCTTCTACCATGCTGCTTTTCCTCTCTTGACCTTTGCCCTTTGCCCCTTCGTTGACAGAAAAAGGTTTTCTCCATAGAGGCAGCCGTCAGGGAAAAGTAAGAAGCGGTGAAATGAAAGAACTCAGAATGACGGATTAATGTCCTAAATATTAACAAGAGGCAATGAACTGTATTTGATTAAAGATCAGTGAACGCTGCTGCAGGCAAAAGGTTAAAAGCAGTACTAGTTACCAGATGTTTCCTGAAATATTTATGCTTTATTGAATAAAGTATTCTTTATCAGACGTGCTCAGTAATGATAACGAGGAGTTTGTATTAATTCTGGGAGCCAGCCTCTCTGTTTAGATGATGCCCAGACATGTTAAAACATAACTTTTTTCCTTTTGTTTAACCAGTTTATGATTGTTTTTAAATGTTTATTAAGTTTATATGTTGCTAATCCTTTTGTACCAGGGAGTCTAAACTACTGCCCTGACTTTAAAATAAATGGACTAAATCATAATAAGGTTTCCTCTACCTGATTTACTGAAATCCAGAAGCAAAAGCAGCTAAACGGACCCATTTCATGGTGCTCCCTCCGCCGTGCTTCACTGTTGGACTGAGGTTAGTACGGCCTGTCGCTCTCCAGATGCGGCACCGCACGTTTTTCAAAAACGCTCAACTTCTGTCTCGCATGTTCACCTAACCTGCTGACAGTGCTGTCTTCCTGGGAGGTTTGTGCTAATTTAAGAAGCGCTTAAATGTTTTTTTTTTTGTTTTTGTTTTTTTGGGGGGGGGGGGGGGGGTGGGGGTAGATTTAGTTTTTCTTCTTGTGCGCCGGTTCCCAAACTTTTAAACTCATGACCCCCAAAACAACAACGGCAAAGACTTGTGACCCCAGATCTCCTCGTCTGAATTAAACAGACATTGCTAAAGGATGTAATACAACACAAATAACTCAACTGCCTGTTTGTGCCTTTTGTACTTCTTAGAGTTGCATTCGGGCCCAAAAAACCCGACCTGGCCCCAGCCCATAGCCGTCATTTCCAAAACCCGCCCGACCCAACGAATTAACAGTAATTACAGGTTCAAATCCCCCAAAAACCCTGACATTTTTAATTAAGCTTTGACTGCTTATATAGTTAACGGTCAGCGGACGCTGAGTAAAAGGGGCAGAAGATCGGAGCTGCTTGTGCCTGCATTCTGCATTATTCAGACACGGACCCTGCTCTGACATGGCGGATATTTTGTGATCTCACCTGTTTGGGTCGTCGGCTGCGTGCGTCCGTTGAGTGCTGCGGCTGAATGAACATCCATTTGGGCTGATGGATCGCTGGCAGTAGTCCATCTGAAGCTTAACTGAAGTTTTTACCTCTTTCAAGGCCGGTCAGCGCGCAGTCAAATGGCCGCATGCGACTGGTGATTGTATGGCAAGCCACGCTGCCATATAATTGGATCGTCAGCCGCGCGCATCTGCTGATGCAAACAAAAACCCGACACCGACCCGGCCCGCACATTAAGCACATTATTATGGCCCGGCCCTAATCCGGGTTGGGCGGGGCCAGTCTCGGGTTAGAAATGACAGCTCTAGTACTCGTTACAGTGAAAATACCCTTGTATAAATTATTTTAAAATTTTGTTTCATTTCAAGACCATCAAACTTATTTTGTTAACCTAAGTAGGATCTTGATCCCCACTTTGTGAACCACTGATTCTGTGGGAAGATTTTAAAGTGTCATTAAACAATTACTCGTTTTTAGACCAGGGATATTCAACTATCGGCCCCGGGGCCAATCAGGCCCACAGGTGAGCTCAGTTCGGTCCATCAGTGGGTTCATTTTTAAATAAAACAAGATTTTAAACCATAAAACAAACTTACTAAATGCTTTCAGTAACTGTGACACCCCCCCCCCCCTGCAATTTAGTTGAATAGCCCTGTTTTAGACCCTTCTTTTAATCTCACTGAGATTAGATACCTTCTCTTAGTTTAATTTTCTCATCTAGACTGAAAAGCAAGTCACCTGACTTTTCACATTTTTAGCCTTTTTATTATTGATAAAAAAAAGTGGGATTTATGAAATTGTAGCTTTTTATCCCTTCCTCTAACATCCTGTGACGGTTTCCAACAACCAAGCCTTCTAATTGACTAACTTTGTCAGTAACTCCACTTTGCGTCTCCCTGACTCAGACTAACGTCATTTCTTTTGACTGAAACTCCAAGCAGCTTTTAGCCTGGCCTGTGATCCGTAAAGACATGAAAGTACAGCTGATTGTGTCTTTGTTGGATCAGACTGTTTATAACTGCTGCTTAGACAAAGAGCAGATACACTTTAATTCAGCTAAATGTAGATTTTCAGGTCTTCATCATAAATAAAGGAAATCGGTTCTCTTCTCTCCTCTGTTCTCCTCCTACTAACTCTGTTAAATCTAACACCGTGTTCTTGGTTTGTCAATCGTTTTAATGCTTGTTTCATTTAAATGTTTTCAGATCCTGATTCATCACTAACGCACGTTTCCATCTTTTATTACCGAGACACCAAACTAACCACAAGTTGTCATTTTCTTCTAGTTTTTGTTTGAATGCACAGTTTTAAAGTGCCTGTGACGTCCAGTTTTTGTATTAAATACGAATGCATTTTTTTGGAAAGATAACATTAATAACATTGCAAAAAATGATACACACCGCTGAGATGAACAGTTGTCGAGATATGCGCATGAGCAGAAACAGGAAGTGATGACGAAGGGGAACGCATGCACAGAGCAATGCTACAATGGCTGACATCACCGGCACTAGAGGAGAATGTGACGTTTCTTTACGTATTTTTCAGTCACTATCAGAGGGAGACAAAGAGAGTCTGGGACCAAATAATATTTTAATGAACAAAGACCACAGTTCCCCTTTGATGTCACTTCCTGTTTCACTTTGGCTGTGCCAATCAAAAGATTCCCCACTTGTATAACAAAAATGGATAAAATCATGTATATTCTGGAACATTTCCTAAATGTTAATATTCTTTCTTCCACATTTTTCTGCACGTCAGTCACAGACACTTTAACTTATATGTTTTTGTCTTCATGAACCTCTGGACATCTACAACTGATGAACTTTAGAGTTAAACCAATTTAAGATGGCTGCCACAGTCAACTGACGTTAAAATACACGAAATGACTATAATTCAGTTAGTTTTATTGATAAATACCTAAACTTCAGTGTGGTGGTAGCTGAGACTGATCCCCAACAAATACTCTGAATTTTATCATGAACTAGAGTCAACTCTCTGTTAGCAAAATATTTCATGACCACTGGGTGGATTTTAATGACAGTCTCAGGACGTTAGCATTGGGTTCACATCAACAGCAAATTCCAATTCAAGATGGCCACCACAGCTAAATCGCCTTTAAACAACAGACGCTTGAAAGATTTTCAGATATTGAGCTAAAGCTGGGTGTGGTAGTAGCTGAGAGTCATCCTCAACACACACTCTGAGTGCTAACATCATACTGCACCTGATGTTTCCAGGATTTGACCAAGACGGCTCCATCTGTCGGGCGATGGGCGTTCTCTCCAGAGATGCTGAGATTAAAACTTTTAACGACTTTATTCATTGTTTTCCAGCCTTCGCTCTTTCAACTTGCCACCTTGTCGGAACTGTGAGCTCCTGAGTTCTTGGACCCCCTCCAACCTGCAGCACTTCACCACCACCTCCTCCTCCTCCTCCTCCACCTCCTCACTGGGCCTCCTGCAGCTGCTGCAGGAGCACAGCATCTCAGCCTGTCCTCATCCGCGTCACAGCAACGTTCACCACAGCCGCGGCGCCAAACCTCCACGCCCCGCCCTCAAAGACAAAGCCGGGGGTTGGCTGTCGGACAGAAACGGGAAGAGGAACGTCTTCAGCCTGAACCTGGTGGAGAAGCTGCAGAGCCTCGGGCTGCACAGGGTGGCAGCCTGGGGCATGAAGAGCTGCGGCGACAGAGTCCAGCATCCCCCGAAGGTGTGACGCGTTCACGGTCCCCCCCGCAGCACCTGTGAGATCCCCGACCCACTGCAGCAGTCGTGTCTTAAACAAAAAGCCACAGAATGTGTTGGAGCCATACTTGACTCGGAGGCTGAGTACACTCGCACACAAAAACGAGAATTTTTTTTTTTTATTATTGTGCGTTTGTGAATGTCATTTTACAGATTCTGCCATCCCTGGTTTTAAAAACCTGTTGTTGTTTTTTTTTTTGTTTTTTAGTTTCCAAGGTGAAACCTCAGTTATTTGTACATAGTTTAATATTTAAAAAAAAAGAGACTGCACGCAGTAAATATCACTGAAGAACATCCAAATGCACTAAAACACTCTGTCCTTCCTGCTACCTTCACGTTCTTTAAAACACTGCAGCAGATAAAAAGACTGTCCCTTCGGCTGTTTATCTGCTTTCACCTGCAGCTTTCGGACTTCCCTTGAAGCCAAACTGGAGGAACCAAACCGGGTTTGATGTTCTGCATCAGACAGGAAATAAGACTTTCTGAAGCAATACCTGCCGTACAAATCTGCTGTACTTCACGACATCAGGGCTTTCTGTTGGATCACGATCGTGCTGGGAATTCTGAACTATTAGTATTTAATAATTAAAATTAAACAGCACGGTTTTTTTTCTTCTGCACAATCAACCGTAGCAAAAGGCATAGGACACTGGATTTAAAAGGGATCATATCAGGTTTTATTGTCGTGTTGTGTTTCTCTGCACTGCTCTGCTGGATTCTGATGTCGTCGTGTGTAACTTTTACCACCTGTGAATTAAAAAAAAAAAAAACGTGTCTCAGTTTGAGCTGAAATCCACACTCAAATAAAACGACTGCTAGGAGTATTTCTGCATGTTTATTTATTTATACATTTTCAGGGCGTGTAAAAGCTTCACTTTCTGTACAGTCTGAAGTAAAAACGAAGAGCTCTCTGGTTTTTGTTGTTTGTTTTGGTTGAAGCTGCTCCTCATTCTGCGTCCCGGCGTCCGAAGTCCACCCAGCCCTGGTAGTCCCGGTCGGACGCGCAGTCCGAGTTCATCACCTCTGTGAACAAACCATTCCTACATGAACACAGATCGGAGCATTCGTCACATTTCATCAGCCCAGCAGACGCTGCACTCTGGGGTTTTATTCTGCAGAGATGTTTTAACAAATCATTGCTTTAAAAACATGAAAACTGAAGTTTGTTTTACACAAAGCGGGTGGAGAAAAACTGTCTTTTACTGAGTCAAGTTACAATTTTAAATCTTTGTGTAAAACCAGAAAAGGAGAAAATAAAAACGACACTGCAGAAAATATACAACAGAATCTCATCACATAATAAAAAAGTAAAAATAACTTTTTTCTATTAAAAAATAATGTTTTACGATGTCCACTTTGATTTCTTATGTTTTTAACGTATATTACTCAAAACTTCACGTAACCACAACACTTGTAATAATGTGATAACATTAGTGAACATAATGTGAAATATATATTTAGAATACAGTAGTCCCTCGCTACTTCACAGTTCATTTATCGCAAACTTGCTCTATCGCGGTTTTTCAAAATAAGATTGGACATGACGCACAATTGGCTGACTGATGGATGAGCCACATGATCGGCATAGAATTTTTATTTAACATAAATTATATTAAATTATTTAGCACTTGCTGCTTTGTGCAGCCCACTGCAGGATAAACTTCCTGCTGCAGCTGATCAGCTGTTCTCCGTTTAGAGCAGAAAAGTGGGAGTGGCCAAGAGTGCTTGCAGGTGACTGAGCAGCGGAGGCAGGGAGCTGAAATCATGACATTCTGTGTTCTTATAGTGCGTTTAGAGCTTAGAAACATTATTGAGAATATTGCAAGAGAGTGGGAAGGGTTTAAAACCCATTTTTATATATTTATATAAAAATACTAAAATAAACTACAACTTACTACTTATACTACTATTCCTACTTTGTGGTTTTTCACTTATCGCAGGGCTTCAGGGTACGGATCCCCCGCGATAAACGAGGGACTACTGTATTCACATTATTATGAGATGTAATTTTTTTAGGTGTTTACCTGAAATGGCTCTCACGATCTGTTTGGTCATCAGCTCTCGCTCGTCCTCAGACAGATGTGCTCGTCTCTCCTCTCGAACCTCCGGCTTGAGCTTCTCCTTCTGGGCCAGAAGTTTCTGCAGGATGTTTGTTCCTGTCGCCTGTGCTGCCGCAGGCGAGGAGGCTGCGTCGGATCCGAGCAGCAGCAGCAGCAACAGCAGGCCAACCACCACAAGTTTCCCTGCCATGTCTGAGCAGAGGGACAAGGACTCTGTGGGCACCAAATGGGTCAGATGTTCTGTTCCTGTGAGGAGCATCTGAGCCTTTTATATCAAACACTTGGAGGTGGAAAATCAAAGCCTGATAAGAGCTTCACTGCAGAACATCTGATGGATCCACTCACCTTAGCAGGAAGTGCGTAAAGGAAGCAACACGTGAAAAAAACTCAATATTTCGGTTTCTAAAGTGCTGCAAAAACTATAAAACAAGTCGATGCATTTACACAAGAAGTCCAATCATCTGAGAGAATTTTATAATCCATTCAAAACATCCCACGTAACCATGGAGATGCTCTGGACTTAACAGAGGAAAATAATGCGCAAAATATGAATATATAATAAAAACATAATATAATAAAACATATTAAAGTGAAAAAGCTAAGATTTATTTTTGTTCTCATGGAACGTTGTGTTTTCTGTGTTCAATAAAGTTTGATATTTTTTTCTCCCTTATGTTTGTTGAGTGTTTTGTTAAGATTTATGTGAACGTTTATGAAGCATTCACTCTTGTGATCCATTTTTCTCCCGTACATTTTTCAGCATCTTTCGCGTTCCACATTTTTTGTGCTACTTCAACAAATCATATCAAAACATTCATCTCGTTCAGCACAATCCTGCTATGATTTTTGGCATTGGTGCAACTTTAGCTTTTTGAAATATTTAGCCTTTTCTACCACTTTTTTTCCTCATAGAAAATGATAGGAGCTCGTTTTCCATCCTTCAAATCTTTAGATCTGTTTACAACCTTTTACTGCTCCTTTCACATTTTGTTCTGGTTCAGCTTCTTTCAGCTTCCTGGTAGAAATTTAAACTACTTTCAGCTACTTTCAGCTGTTTTTTTCAGCCGTTTTTGGCTCCTTTCAGATTCTTTCTGCTAACCGGTACAACATTTTTGTGCATCTTCTAACTTATTTCTGCCGATTTCAACTTGTTTTGCTACTTTCAGCTTATTTATGCGAGTTTCAGCTTTTTCTGCTATTTCAGCTAGTATTTAGCTTTTTTTTTTTTTTGGCTAATTCCACATTTTTTGCACTCATTTCAACTTTTTTCAGCCTAATTCAGCAAAAATGTGCTCTCATCTTCTGGTAATTAAAGCTTCTTTCTGCCTTTTAAGCTACTTTTCAGTGCTTTTTTTTAAGCTAATTTAAGCCTTTTTCAGACAATTTCCACTTGTTTCTGCTCATTTCTGCTTCTTTCAGCCTAATTAGGCACAATTGTGCTTTCTCCACTTCCTTCAGCTTCTTCCTGCCTTTTCAGCTACTTTTCAGCTTGTTTTGCTAATTTAAGCTTTTTTTTTAAATTTTTTTAGCTAATTTCTTTTTGTGTTTTCTGACCGTGTGTGATTATAGTTTGTGTCCAGTTTTGTTTTTGTTTGTTTTGTATTTTGATTTTTTTAAATTGTGATTCAACAAATTTTAGTTTCTCATTTTAAGAAAACCTTTTTGTTTGTAATTTTTAATTTGAGCTTGTTGGTTGAATTTGATGACAATAAACTTTGAATTGACTTTATCTTGTTGTTGTGTAACATTTATTGTTTATTTTTATACGTGTATGTGTTTTATTAAGTCTCAAGTTTTCTTGTTATAATTTTATTTATTGTAATTTGTGTTTGTTGTATTTTTATATAAGGTTTTGAAAAACTTTACAGGTTTATTAAACATTTTGTGTTGAGATTTTGTGCTTTTTAAATATGTATTTTATTTTTATTTATCTATTGCCTGTCCTTTTCGTTCTCAGTCCGTGAAATCAAACCTTCGCTCCGTCGTTCTAAACATCATCAGCTGAAGGGTTTGTTTGTTTTTTGTGAAATCCTCGTCCTCATCCGTATCTGATGAGTCTCGTGGGATCGTCGTGACGCGTTGCCAAGCTTTTAGTGAAACGGTTTTATCGGTGGCAACATCGATGTTGACAGAACGTATGGATTTTCCTCTGTTCTGTTCTGACGATGATCGACCCACTTCTGAAGCAGAAACAGGAACAGAACCGGGGCGAGGCGGCTGAAGGTCCACAGAGACACTTTCCAAAGAGTCCGATGTCCGTTCGTTATAATCTGTCGAGTCAGAACACAACTTCAAAACAACAAAAACACAACATCCATCCATTATCTTTTACCCGCTTCTTCCACTTTTGGGTCATGGGGGTCGCCGGTGCCCATGTCCGGCAATCACGGTGCGAGGGGCGGGGTACACCCTGGACGGGTCGCAAGTCCATCACAGGGACACAGAGACAAACGAGACAAACAACCATTCACTCTCTCATTCACACCTAGGGACAATTTAGAGTTACCAATCAGCCTAAAATGCATGTTTTTGGACTGTGGGAGGAAACTGGAGTACCTGGAGAAAAGCCACGCATGCACGGAGAGAACATGCAAACTCCACCCAGAAAGGCACCTGGGTTTTGAACCGGGGACCTGCTCGCTGAGAGGCAGCAGCTCTACCAGTTGCGCCACCGTGCTGCCAAAAACACATGTAGTTTTAATTTTTGAATAAATACTTGCAAATAGTTGAAAGGAGGAGTGGTGGTGCAGAGGTTAGAGAAGGTGGGCCTGGGGCCTGTGATCGGAGGGTCATCAGTTCAACTCTGCGGACCGACAGCATCAGAATGTGGGTGAGACAGGTGAAACACCCCCATCTGCCTCCACCCTCATTTGCCCCACCTTGGGCCCTTGAGCAAGATCTTTAACCCCCACCATCTGCTCCCCCAGGCGTCCTAAGGCAGCTCTCTGCTCCACACAGAGCGCTGCGGTAGCTCCTTGGTCTGTGGTTGCATCAGGAAGAGCATCCTGTGTACAAACAATCACCAGGTCTTTGCACGATGGCGACCCCTGAAGAAGGGAGCAGCCAAAAGAAGAAGATAAGAAACTTGCAAATGATAAAAATGGGCCACAAAAAAAGAGGGAAACACGTTTTTCTAATCTAAGGTGAATCAAGGAATTCAAAAAATTTAATCCAGGCTAAAATAAAACAAATTGTCTCTTAATTTAACCAAAATCTGAGTCACGCTGGTCAGCAAATCTTCAGAGATTGAAAGGTTTCTAACTCTCCGCCTTTTTTCAGCTGCATGTCGCCTCACAGGAGCATTTTTTAAAGCTGACAAACTCGTCCGTGCGTGTCCGTGTCCCTCTCTCGCTGCTCTTCACTTGGATGTCTTCAGCTTTCTCCCACACAGCTTTTGTTCCTCTCGTTCTCAGACTTTGTGTTTTTGCTAATCCGGTCCGAACTCCTGAAAACACGACTCTGAGCTGGTTGTTGGAATGTGACCTCACTTTTTGAAAATGCTTTTCAACATTTGAGCAGGAATGCATCAAACCCCCAACGGTTCAATCTAATAAACGCACAGGAGGCTTTTTTTTTCCTGCTCGACCAGTTGTCTGGACATAATTCATCCAGTTTACCTGCTGCTTGCTGATGAAGCTCATTATCAATTAAAACCCAAAGGATGCGTCCTCTTCAAAATATTGCTGTTCCTCCTGGTTATTTTTAGTCTGTAAACAGCTGAGATAGTTCAACTAAGCGTGTAAAAGTTTTCCAGCTTAGAGCTTCTTCTCTACGTGTTTTAGTTCAGCTTACCTTCGGCTGTTTTAACCATTTCAAAACGTTCAGCTCGTTCAGGAATGCCTGGTTGTGTTTTAATTAGTATTTACAGAGTTTTAAAAAATGTTTTTGTTGCTCATTCCTCCTCCAGGGGTTTTGCTTCAGTAAGAAACTTCTAATCTGTCCTTCCTGGTTAAATACATGTTAAATAAACAAAACAAGCGACGACCCCATCGCTGAGGGTTTGAACAGTGAATGTTTGATTTGAGATGAGCGTTCTTCTGGACTGGGATTAAACAGGGAGTGCTAGTACACCTTAATGTTTTTGGTGCATTATATTCAAGTGGGTAAGAATTAGAGCTGTTATTTCTAACATGGAACCCAGCCTGATCTGAATTAAGGCCGGGCTAAATTAATGTGTGGGCCGGGCCGGTGTCGGGCTTTTGATTGCTTCAGGGGATGCGCGCGGCTGACAATCCAATTATATGGCGACATGGAGTGCCATACAATCATCAGCCGCACGCAACCATTGACCGTGCGCTGACCGACCTTGAAAGAGGAAAAAAAAAAACTTTAGTTAAAGAAAAGCATTCAAATAAATGAGACATCTTTGCTCTTTCCTTTAGAAGGTGGTGGTGTGATTTAAAAAAGATTCAGCTGCGCTCAGCGGATGCGCATGGCCGACGACCCAAACAGGTGAGATCACAAAATATCCGACATGTCAAAGCAGGGTCCGTGTCTGAATAATGCAGAATGCAGCAGAAGAAGGGTTTTAATGTGCTTTGACGGCAATGAAAGGACAAAAACCCCCTCAGCTCTGATCTTCTGCCTCTTTTAATCAGCCGTGCATGTCCGCTGACCGTTAATAATAATATACGCAGTCAAAGTTTAATTTAAAATGTTGGGTGGGGGTTCAGGTTCGGACCTGTAATTACTGTTAATACATTGAGTCGGTTGGAGTTCGGAAATTATGGCTACGGGCTATATGCTCTTGATTAAACACCAGAACGGATAGTTTTCTCAGATAACAGGAGTGGCTTCCACAAATATACATGGTGGTAGCCATCTTGGACTTTGGCAACCCAGTTTTTGATAGAGACTTTTCTTACACCTTGACACACACCAAAATGAAAGTCTGCATTTTGATTAGTTTTTAAGTTATCCAACTCACAAGGTTTACATAGGTATGACGGTGGCCATATTGTTTGCGAAAGGGACCTTTCTAATGCCTTGATGAAGCCACACACAAAAAATGTTCATAACACGCTCAGACACATGGTATGTCCAAAGACGGAACAACAAAAAGGACATTATGAATTCTGTTTATTCTAACTATATATATATATATATATATATATATATATATATATATATATATA